GTAGCCATCTGGGGAGTGAACCAGTGGATGGAAGAACGAACTCTCTCTCTCTCTCTCTCTCTCTCTCTCTCTCTCTCTTGCTCTCTTGTTCTCTTTTGCTCCCACTCCGTAACTGAATTTCAAAATAAATAAATAATAATAATAATAAAAAAGACTAACTACAGCAAGTGTCAGTGTTGTTGTGGAGCAACTGGGATCCTCACTCTCTGCTGGTGACAATGCAAACTGCTGGGGTCACTTTAGAAAACACCTTGGCAGGGACAGGTATTTTGCAGCATCTGTGCCCCTTGGGGCACCCACGTCCCATGATGAAGTGCTGGTTCCAGTCCCAGCCGCTCTGCTTCCGAGCCAGCCCCCTGTTAAAACTCCCGGAAAAGCAGCAGATGACGGCTGGAGCGCTGGGTCCCTGCTCACTCACGTGGGAGGACCCACATGGGGTTCCTGGCTCCTAGCTTCAGCCTGGCCCGGCCAGCTCTCGTGCCCTTTCTCCGTCTCTCCCTCTTTCCCTGTCACTCTTTTTGAAAAATAAAATAGAATAAATTCAGTCTTTAAAAAAATGAAACAACATGGCAAATTTCTTATACCATATAAGTCAGTAATTACATTCCTGGGTATTAACTCAAGAGAAATAAAGACACAGGTTGTAGGAAAATATTTGTACACAAATGCTCATGGCAGCTTTATTTGTAATAGCCCCAAACCAGAAACAACCCCAATGTCCATCAGCCGGAAAAGGAATAACAATTACAAGGCACCTGTACTGTGGAATTCTGCTCAGCATCAAAGAGTGAGCGACTGACACACGGATGGAGCGCAAACGCATCGTGACGCTGAGTGCAAACCAGCAGATACGAAGGACTGCATATCACAGGAGGCCAATTTTACGCAATTCTAGGAAAGAGAGAACTACAGTAATAGAAAGCAGATAAGTGGTGGTCAGGCTCCGGGGACGAGTAAGGGGATGAGGTCGCCTACCTAGGGCCGTAAGGGAACCTCCGGGGGGATAGAGATGGTCTCAGCCATGGCAGAGGTTACCTGACTGCTTGTGTTTCATAAAAATCGACGACTGAGGCTGGCACTGTGGCGTAGCGGGTAAAGCTGCCACCTGCAGCGCAGGCATCCCATATGGGTGCCAGTTGGAGGCCTGGCTGCTCCTCTTCCAATCCAGCTCTCTGCTGTGGCCTGGGAAAGCAGTAGAAGATGGCCCAAGTCCTTGGGCCCCTGCACCCACATGGGAGACCCAGAAGAAGCTCCTGACTCCTGGCTTCGGATCAGCACAGCTCCAGCCATTGCGGCCATCTGGGGAGTGAACCAGTGGATGGAAGACCTGTTTCTCTGTCTCTACCTCTCTCTGTAACTCTGTCTTTCAAATAAATAATAAAAAAATTGCCTTATAGTAGCTTAGAAAAAATATTTATTTATTTATTTATTTGAAAGGCAGAGTTACAGAGAGGCAGAGCCAGAGAGAGAGAGAGGTCTTTCATCTGGTGGTTCACTCCCCAGTTGGCCACAACAGCCGGAGCTGGGCTGATCTGAAGCCAGGAGCCAGGAGCTTCTTCTGGGTCTCCCATGTGGGTGCAGAGGCCCAAGGACTTGGGCCATCTTCTACTGCTTTCCCAGGCCACAGCAGAGAGCTGGATTGGAAGTGGAGTAGCCAGGACTCGAACCAGCATCCATATGGGATACTGGCACTGCAGGCGGCAGCTTCACCTGCTACGCCACAGAGCCGGCCCCACCTTATAATATCTTTAAAAGAGATGTGGGTGGGCATTTGGTGCAGCAGTGACGATGCTGCCTGGGGCACCCTCATGCCATATCGGAATGCCTCACGGGAGTCCTGGCTCCCGCACTTCCGATCCAGCTTCCTGTTAGTGCACACCCTAGGAAGCATTTGACGGCTCAAGTACCCGGGTCCCTGACACCCATGCAGGAGACCTGTATTGAGTTCTGGTCTCTTGACTTTGACCTGTCCCAGCTCTGGTGGTTGCAGGCATTTCGGGGAGAGAACAGAGCAGATAGATGATTTCTTTCTATTTCTCTGTCTCTTGGCCTCTCAGATAAAGTGAAAATAGACAAATATAAAACTAAAAGAGAATGTACCGCTATAGATGAAGGATTAGTGAAACTTTTTTGTCCTACCCGACAGTTGGACCTTTAGCTAACTTTCTGCTGTTTCCCTGGAAACCTGATAGAGGTCAAATATCACCATGTCATTAAACAGCATCACTTATATTAATGTAATTATCTGATTTGTAAATCGAATCTGGACTGGCTTATGTATAAATTCCTGATGGAGAAGCGTGCTTTGGCCTTCCCTGGGAAGGAAGACTCTTTATTTGTGTAAAGATTTATGTATTTATTTGAGAGGTAGAGTTACAGACACAGAGAGAGACAGAGAGACAGAGACAAAGGTGTTCTATCCACTGGTTCACTCCCCACATGGCCACAACTGCCAGGGCTGGGCCCATCTGAAGTCAGGAGCCAGAAGCCTTTTCGGGGTTTCCCACACAGGTGCAGGGGCCCAAGCACTTGGGCCATCTTTTGCTGTGATGCAGCCAGGACACGAGCCGGTGCCCATTTAGGATGCCGGCATTGCAGGCCAGGGCGTTATCCCACTGTGCCACAGCACCGGCCCCTCTTCGTGAACTTTTGGAAGGCTTTTTGTATGCATGGATTTCAAAAAAACCACTTGCACCAAAATCAACTTATCTTTTAATTCCATATTTTCCAAATATTTTCCTTCCAAGTGAACCTGATGCCGGCTGTGGCCCATGCCCATGCTCGTCTTCTGAATCTAGCTGTTTAGTTGTATCTGACGCATGCTGCACGTGATGATACAAAGAGTTCATTCCTGAGCTATCATTGAACAGAGTCCCGGTAGATGATCAGGGTGAGATTTAGTTAACTACAGCTATGAGAAATCTTAGGTCTCGCAGGAAGTCAGAATACACGGATCCCTGCTCCCTCTTGTGGTCATGGATGCAAATTGCAGATTTGGAACCAGAAAGGTTTGCGCCCTGAGCCAAGGAAACCCAAAGCTGTAACTCGCCATCACATCACAGAGTAGACTTCCGTCTGTTCGCCTGTCCTGTCTCAAGCAGGTGCTGAGCGGCCTGAGTTGGAGAAGTGCGAGTTTTCCCTCCTCCTTAGAGATAAGGTGAGATCTGTGGAGCCCGCGGGTTAGTGATCCCGGTTTCTTACATAAGCAGATCCAGATAGGACCGCACAGGGAGCCCCAAGCGCCCTGGGCGGTTTCGCGCATCTGCAACGTGAGCCGGCCAGACGGATGAAACGCCTGCACGTTGGGGAAAACACTCACTGGAGTCGGAACGAAGTGGAGAGCGACCGGGACTCGGCACCTGCTCTTTCCATCTCTTCTGTGGCAGCCCTAGCAGCTCCTCCTCTCCACCAGGCACATCACTCGAGTCATGTCACGCTGCGCTCCCTGGGAAAGCCACTTCCTTCCAGGGCATCCGTGCTTTCCAAAAGCCATCGGAAGCCCTGTGACCACGCAGTGACATCATGCACACCCTGCTCGGACCCTACAAGAGGAACACTGCAGGGTCAAGCTCTGGCCATTTTTTATTGTGGCATTGGAGGAAAAAGAAAAGTCTTGCCAATATATTTTTCCTTCAGAGATAGGCTATGTGTGGAGCCAATCTGCTCCAAGACCTTTACATTCTAACAATAACTCCACTGGTCAGATCAGGGAGTCCTTGGAGTTTCCTACACTACATTTTCTTCCTTATTATTTTAAATTACATTTCACCTAACGCAGATGGAAAAACAGCAATAGGTGTTGTTTGTAAGAAACAGTGAAGCGATCCACAAAGCAAAGCCAACTCCCCTTGCATCCACAGTGCCACCATTTTTTAGGCAACGGGGCTCAGTGTCTGACTTTTCACTTCTGTCTCTGTGTGCTCACAAACACACAGAAAGTGTGTGCCTACCCGGCATGTCGACGTGTTTGCTTTCTGCTCCTGCTGCAGACATAACTCTGTTTTCTCATTATGGATAACTCTGCAATACCAACAGATCTTACTCCTTGTTCTTAACAATAGCATCGTGTTCTCCAAAGATTAACCTCCAAAGATTAACCCTCTCCATGAACATTCAGGCTACTTCCGTTTTTCATCACTACCGATGCTGCAATCAATAGTAGTGCACATATAAGTCTCTAATGGTGCATTTGTTTTTTGTAGGACAAAATTTGTGGGGGAAGATTAGATTAAAGGGCATGTGATATATATGTATGTATGTATGTATGTATGTATACCGTATGAATCTTAATAGTTGCAATCCCAAAAGCTTCCAGCAATTCACCCTTCTTCAAATCCTGCCCTGGATGTCAGCAATCTCTTTAAGAGAATGAAAACTGGTTGCCAATGCTCCCCTACCACCTGCTCTTTGCTCTACACATATATGCCGGGATGCAAATACAGCTCCTCTTTGCTGAGAACACCTCACTACCCTCCTCTCGTTCCTAAGGTCAAAACCTTCCCAGGGCCCCAGAGAGCACCGTGAGGTCCGTCGCCCTCCCTGCGCCTCCGGGGGGGTTTTCTCCTAACAGGAAAGCGACATCCCGGTTTTTATGGAGAAATCCTGATGACATCCCAGCTTCTTTGCTGGGATGACCTTCGTCGGGAGCTACACCTTTTAAAAATGTGACTTGGGCCTGAAAGGAATAATTATTTCTGTTTCATTTGCCTTGATGGAAATGTTTTCCCTGTTGCTGCAGGCAGATCACTTAGAGTAAACAGGGAAACACAGGACTTGTCAAAAAAAAAAAAAAAAAAACCATGTCAGGGCGACCCCTTAGCTCCCGAGGAGCAGGCAGGAGATCTGATCACGGGGGAGGGGTGTCTTCTCTGGTTTTTAAGTGGGACTTTTAAAGTGGAGAGATGCCTTTCATGTGCTGGTGTGCAGAAGAGGAAATCCGATTTTCAGAGTGATAACACATTCTTTGACATTAACCGGTACAGTTGGATGTTTAATGACCCTTTGATCTTCAAAGCCCTTTACCGACACGGATGGATTAATGATTCGGGTTTTGGTTGTGTGTTGAAAAGCCCAGTCTTCAAAGCCGTCATCCCTTCTCCTTGGAGCGGGGGCTCTCCACCTTTCACATGTTGCTTTCCTGCACCCCCACCGCGAGAAAAATAGATTATACCTTTTATTCGACCAAGAAGAAGACGATGGAAAAATACTCTGTGCGAAGGAAAGTCTGTGTCCTTACACCCTGGGTGGGATTAGGAGGAGTCGGGAAGCAGCGTTTGAGCTGTGTTTACAGTAAGCACTGCGAGAAATGACTGCCTGGCTGAGTCTGTCACCGTGCTGTCTTTTGATGTCCTTTTCAAAAGTAGCAATAAGTACGCAAAGCGCCCTGCGTTAAACCCAAGCTGGGACAGAATGCGACGACCCTTGTACTTGTGGCTAAAGTGCATCTATATTTCCTCCTCTCTCTCTCTCTCTCTCTCTCTCTCCTCTCAATTGTCAGTAGGGTTTGAAAAGGTTTGGTTTCGCGCTCTTCCTGGACTCGACACATCTTTCGACCGCAAGAGAGCAGCCTGCGCTTTGATGCGCTCTTCCCTGCTCCGCCCAGGAATGAAAGCGCGAGTGGAAGTTTGCAAACACATCCTCAGCCCTGGAACCGCAGTCGGCACTCACGTCCTGATCTCCCGGGAGACGTGCGGCTCGGCCACCTGTGGGTTCCTGGGAGGAGCTCTTCTCCACTCCTGAAGCTCGCCGGCGCTCTGCTCCAGGGCCCAGGGCGGTGGATTGCGGGCGCGGAGCAGCTGTGGTGGCTTTGGGAAGATGACTCTGGGTTTAGTTTGCGCTCGCATATCCAGGTAAGGAACCCAGAGAGAGACCCCTTTCTTTTGAAATAAGAAGATCAGAGGGAAGCCGGGGTTGGAAGTGTGGATTAGGGAGATCCTCCATCCCTACCTCCCACCTCCGCTCTGAATCTTTAAAAAAAAAAAAAATCAAGGAGTGCCTTGAACTTGGGGAATCATGCGAAGCGCCCTCGAAGCCTGCCCGGGAACCTAGCTTCCTCGCCACAGACAGACGGTCTGGATGGACCAGCGTCTCCGATTTGAGCCTCGCTGTCCTCTCTGGAGAGATTACGCGCTTGCGGGTGATCTGTGTGCGTGTCGGGGAATGATGGAGACCCGTACACCGGCCGCACTGCTGACCCTGCCGTACCCCCTGCGCGCTGTGCCACTGGGCACGCCAGGGACCCTGCCCCGCCTGCCTCTAAGAGACCACTTGGGAGTCTCCTGGCGCCTGGACGCCGCGTGCTGGGAGCGGGCGCATGGGGACTGCGCGCCCAGGCGGCCGTCGCCGCCCCCACCGCTGGACTGCGCCTTGGAGCCCGCCTTCCTGCGGAAACGCAACGAGCGCGAGCGGCTGCGGGTGCGCTGCGTGAACGAGGGCTACGCGCGCCTGCGGGACCACCTGCCCCGCGAGCTGGCCGACAGGCGCCTCAGCAAGGTGGAGACGCTGCGCGCCGCCATCGGCTACATCAAGCACCTGCAGGAGCAGCTGGCGCGCCACGCCCCGGGCCAGGAGGCTGCGGCGGCAGCCGCCCCGCAGCGCAGGGCCGAGTGCAACAGCGACGGCGAGTCCAAGGCCTCGTCGGCGCCGTCGCCCAGCAGCGAGCCCGAGGAGGCGGGCAGCTAGCCGGCCCCGGCGCCCCGGCGCGGACCCAGCGTGCGGTCTCCTTGTAAGGCTCGCTCCCACGGTGTGCGCCTTTCGAATCTGGTAGCTGCACCAGGCCTACATCTTAAGGAAAAGCCACGCGTGCTTCGGGGCGGGGAGGGGAGGGAGGGTATTTTGACATTTTGGGGACTTTCCCCCAGTGGGTTAGTACTTGGCAATTTCAAGGTGCTTATTAAGGAAATTCTTTTCCTGTTCTTCTGAAATGCAAACTGTCCCAGATCTTGAACACCTCATTCTGAACACGATTGTGCAAAACAACTGGAATGTTTCAGTTTTGTGGATAAATTATTTACAGAGATATTAAACCTTAACCAGAAAAAGACCTAGCCACCAAGAAAATAAAAATTGCTTAGGATGAGAGGAACACTCTGCATGGCTTCCTTTGGGAGTTGTGGACTTTTCCTTGCCTTGCTTTGGGGAACGGGGACGCTTGGCTGGCACGTGAGAGCATGTGGCCAGCGCGTGCCCCTGGACTCCAGCTCATGCCTTGGGCCACATGAACATGTGAATGGCCAAGAAGACCTCTGCACGAGATAGATGCCTTTGTACCAACAAGCGCCCACTGGAAACTCTATATAGCATTTGGTGGCTAATAAAATATCTGGGTTGTTAATGATCTCTTTGGGGGAGGACTCAGAATTGTATGAACACTTCAAAAATTTTCCTTTTCTTCGCATTCTCCTTTGAAGTTCTCACTCCGTGCAACCTTTTCTTAAAGTGACACGGTGACTTTACTAAATCTAGCTGATTTAGTAAAACTGATGATTGAACCAGCTGTTGGAAGGGATGTGGGACATGGAGGATGGATTGGGATTGGTACATTCTCAAACTTTTTTTTTTTTTTATCATCATGAGGGTATTATTGAAATTATCTAGCCAACTGTGGCTATTGCCAGTTTTGTTGTTTTTGTTAATTTATGTATTCATTTTCATCTACTTGAAAGGCAGAGTGAGAGAGATCTTTTATCTGCTGGGTTACTCCACAAATGGCTGCAGCAGCCAGGGCTGGGCCCGGCCAAAGCCAGGAGTCCAGAACTCCATCTGGCTCTCCCACACGAGTGACAGGGGCCAAGCACTTGAGCCGTCATCGGCTGCCTCCCAGGCGCATTAGCAAGGAGCTGGATGGGGACTGGAGCAGCTGGGTCTCAAACCAGCTCCCATATGGGATGCGGGTATTCAAAGCAGTGCACCACAAGGTCTGCCCCTGTTACCAGTCTTAAAAAACCCTTTGGTGCTTTCTCCCTCTGAGAAGCAATTAAGAATTCTGTAGCTAAGTGAAATGCCTTGTTGATACGTGAAGATGAACCTCCTCTTGCTCTTTGTTTTCAGCTTTGGTGAGAGGAGTGGGGGTTGGGGAGAGGACTGGAAATAGACGAGGAGAACTAACTTTTTACAGGTGCACCCACTGGGGAAGCTATTGTTCAGTGAACATGCCAGGAACTTTGTTGTGTGCCTTTTACATTTTGTCCTACTTAATCCTCATAAATTTGCAGAGTGACTATTACACATTTTATGGTAAGAACAGAGAGACTAATAAACAAAGCTCAAAGAGGTTACATGCCTGGAACTAGGACCCGCCTTCCATGCATCGGACCCCCAAGCCCCAGATCTCTCTCTCCCTCTCTCTCCGTGCTCCTCTTGATCTGTGTCATTCGCGGCCTGGGGAACTGAGCAAGCACAACTTAACCTCCCTGCCACTCAGTTTCCTTCCCAGCGTGTGGTGTTCTGCCTAAGTGTAGAAGGACCTTGGTCATCTGCTGCATGGGCAGTGTTCTCATTATTCGGGAAGAGGGCTGTTTCTTGGTTCTGTGGTGTGGTAATGACCTCTAAGTGGAGTTGGTGTGGTGTCTTCAGTGTTTCAGAAGAGGGGCAGAGTAGTCACACTCTTAGGATTTTGCCTTCTATGGTAGGGTTCCAGGGGACGTGACTCAACCAGTGGAATGCCGAATCCATGTTAAACATGTAATTACTAATATTTATAATGATGACTTATAATGGGATTCCATTGTTTCAGGCTGCACAGGTAAATGCTGGGCAATGATTCATGACCAGGCTTTCCTTTTTTTCTTAAGAACGAGGGCTTTTTGGGTTGAACTAGCAAGATGGAACAGCTCTTTCTGTGTCTGGTCCATTAGCCAATTAAATCTTCACGCAGTTCTGCAATGCATCCAGGTTGGTCTTCAGGAAGATTGATTTCCCAGTGGGGGGTGCGGCGATGCCCGCCTAAGTGAGGTCTGTTTACCAATTAGGGGGCAAAGTGAGAAAACCCCAGTTACCTTCCTGGCTGAGCTAGGGAGCATCTCATCAACCAAGTTGCTGGGAACCTTCTTGTGGTTTTATGTGAAGCCCTTCTGCGAATAAGGCAATGATTTGGAAAAAGAAAATAAAATCCCATCTGAATCATTTAATCTTTCTAGAGAAAGAGAGAGAGAGAGAGAGAGAGAGAAAAACCAGGCCACTTTCTGGAACCATGCTGATGGCTTCCAGGAGGAGCGCGGGTCTGGGAATGATACCTCTGAACTGTTTGACCAACATGTGACCCGGTGAAGCCACTGCTCAGGATGCCTGTGTTCTGTGCTGGCGTACCTCCGCTCCGGTCCCAGCGCTGCCTCCTGTTTCCAGCCTCTCGCTAACGCAGGCCTTGGGAGGACGCAGAGATGACTCAAGTAGTTCAGTTTCTGCCACCCATGTGGGAGATGTGGATGAATTCTGAGCTCCTGGTTCTGGCGCCAGCCCAAGCCCAACCGTCACAGGCATGTGGGGGAGTGAACCAAGGGATGGGAGCTCTCTCTCTCTCTCTCTCTCTCTCCAAAAAAAAAAAAAAAAAAAAAAAAGTTTGCTTTCGCTTTTCCATTTTCCTGTGAAGGATCACTTCATTAACCACAGAACGACTTGACTTTCAAAAAGAGTAGCATACATTGCCAGTGAGTTCTGCAGCGTGAGAGGCGTTTTGTAGAAAGGAAGCCTGCATGAAAGAAGAGGTTACACGTCCTCCAAGATCCCCCCTGGTTTCTTGTCCATTCAGCCCACATCCCGTGACTGCACGTTTTTACTTCTAGAATACTCCCTACGGCTCACAGCCATGAGTGAATGCTGTGACAGCCCATCCCTGAGAGCGAAGCAGGGCCTGTAGCGGGTGGGACAAGGTGTGTGCCCTGGTCCTAGGACTGGATCTGGTTTGGCCACTCACTGAGCTGGGATCCTGGGCAAGTCCCCAGCTTCTGAGGTCTCAGTTCTCTTTGCTAGGACACGCGACGCTTGCACTGCACGATTTTGTGCCTCCTCCAGCTCCAACATGGCACACGGCTGACAGGTGCACTGTTCTCAGCTGGGCAAACACAAGGCATGCCTGCTTCCTGCCACACGGCACAGTGGCTTTCTTTTTTCCCATTGCAATGATCCAGCCCTGGGGTTGCCGCCTACTCTTTTTCTTTTTTCTTCCTTTTTGCAATGATTTATCTATTTATTTGAAAGAGTTACAATTAGAGAGAGAGAGAGAGAGAGGTCTTCCATCTGCTGGTTCAGTCCCCAGATGGCCGCAACGGCCAGAGCTAGGACAGGCTGAAGCCAGGAGCTTCTTCAGGGTCTCCCACGTGGGTGCAGGGGCCCAAGGACTTGGGCCATCTTCTGCTGCTTTCCCAGGTGCATTAGAAGAGAACTGGATCAGAAGTAGAGCAGCTGGGACTGGAACCTGCACCCTTAAGGATGTCGGCACTGCAGGTGACACCGGCTACATCACAACACCGGCTCCTACTCTTTTTCTTTTCTTAGTTGTAGTTGCTGTTGACAATGCTTGATTTTCTTATTCTTTTAAAGCAAGCTTTTGTCCAATCTGCCATGTGTGGTGGGATGGCCAAGATACAGATTTCCATAAAAACCTTACAGGGAAAACACTACTCTCAGAGTTGATCCCACAGAGACAATAGAAAAGATGAGATCAGGAAGGAACTCCCACTCGGCAAAGGAAGATGGACAGGCAGTGTGCCCACCGCACTGACGGAATCCGCTCTCCATGTACACAGACCTGGTGGTGGTGCTAAGGAGGGGGTGCCACACCACTCCCCCTCCCAAGAGTAAGCACAGAGCACGAAGCTCAAGCCGGCTATCCTGAGGCGGTATGGTTGCTGAGAATGGCCAAAGCAGTCCTTTTCCTTGGAAGCCATTCAGACTAGTGGGCTTTCTTTTTTTAAAGTATTTATTTATTTGAAAGACAGTGACAGACAGACAGAGAGAGGTTGATTTTCCATCTGTTGGTCCACTCTCCAATTGCCTGCAACAGCTAGGGCTGGCCAACCAAAGCCAGGAGCCTGGAACTCCATCTGAGTCTCCCATGTGGGTGGCAGGGACCCAGGTACTTGAGCCATCACCTGCTGCTTTCCCAGGGTGTGCATTCGCAGGAACTTGGGCCAGAAGCTTAGGCAGGACTCTATCCTGGGTACCCTGATAAGGGACACGAGTGTCCCGGATGGTGACTTAGTGTACTATGCCATGCCCTCACCCCGGTGTTGGACGTTTCGTGGCCAGCCACTTTGACAGACACTATGGCAAGCGCTGGCTGACTTACTGCTTCAACAAACCTGAAGACAAGCAGCTGTGTTTGAAGAGTTAATAAAGTACATGAACTAAAACAATAAATAAATAAAATAAAATAAGTCAAACAAATGTTATAATTTGTTGTTGAATAAAAATTGAGTAATCAGACAAACTGGTGGGAAAATAGACCCCTTTCAGCTCAATAGTAGGAAAAAAAATGTATAAGTGGTACAAATGACTCCAAATTGAAAAATGTTGTGAAGGCACAGGAAAAAGAGGGACTTGTTCCAGCTTCAAGTGAGTAGAAAAGAAGGAGGAACGGTTTTAGGGGGTGCAGCCTTTGACAAACAGAAATGGGGTGAGAATTATGGGCAGCAGGTCAGGGGAGCAAAGTTGCTGAGTAGGCGGGAATTGTGGAGAGTAGAGGCTGAGTGACACGAGACTAGAAATGAGAAGCGGAGACAGCTTGGAAAGGCAGGCAAAAGAAGCTGGGACTTTGTTTTTTAACCAATGAGAACTAGTGAGAAAAATACACACACACACACATACACACACACATTGGTTTGGAGAGAGGGTGGATTGTTCAGTGCTGAGGCTGAGAGTCACTTGACTTTGGCGGCAGGAAACAGCAGACCAATGGTGTTTGGATAATAGAGAGAGGGAGTGAAGTGAGGGCCTACACTAAGCCAGTGGCATGAGAATGGAAAGAAAGGGGTGGGCTGAGAGCCAGTGAGGGTAGAGCTGGCACCAGGGACCTTCGAGGAGTCCTGGAAAATGCGTATTATGATACAACTGTGCATGCCTTTCAAAAATGTTTTTGCACCAAAATAGACTTATATCTTTTAATGCTATTTTTCCATAACCTTTTTGGAGGACTCTTGGCAACTCAGAGGTTGGGCCCAGGGATAAGGAGGAGGGAGAAGTTAAAGATGGCACCAGTGAAGTCCCATCCCGTGAAATCGGGAACTCCCAGTCTTGTCCTGGAGCTGCTGAACTGAAAGTACTGACAGACTTCTGCCCTCGATCCACTGGAAATGCTGACCTCAAGGTCATGGGGGAGGTCAAAGAGACGAGCGGAGCTGAGAGCCAGACCCGACTAGGAAGTGATGGGACGAGGTGTGGTCAGCAAGGGAGGCTACTGGTGAGAAGAAGAGAGGACAGCCGGGGCGGGAGTGGCCGAGGAAGAGAGGAGCAGGAAGGAGAACGAGGCCGGGATGAGGTCACAGCCATTAGCTGGGAAAGGGATTTCATAAGAAGGGAATGGTTGACAGCAGCCTGTGCATCAGCGATGTCAGGCAGCTTAAGCGTGATGGGAACCCGTCGGGTTGAGCCCTTTAAGGATCTGTAAAGACCTCCATAAGGGTGTGACAGACCCAATGGGAGGTGAGAAGCGGGGGCACCCTTGAAGGCTGCCCCTCTCCACACGTGTCGTGGGGGATGCAGGAGGCGAGCTGACGGCGTGAGGCCCCGGCTGGAGGAAAATACGGCGACTCAAAGATGGCGCCGAGGTCTTACAGGAGAAACAAGTCAAGCTGATTCAGACACCATGGTGACGAGGTGTCAAGGAGCCTGAATTCAGTGGAGCGGAGGGTGCCAGGAATCGGAGAGAGTAAAGAACTGGGTGTGGAGCTGGCGCTGTGGCGCAGTGGGTGAAGCCTTTGTCTGCAGGGCCAGCTTCCCACGTGGGCGCTGGTTCCAGTCCCGGCTGCTCCACTTCCGATCCAGCTCCCTGCTGGGGCCTTGGAAAGCAGTAGAAGATGGCCCAAGTGCTTGGGCTCCTGCACCCGTGTGGGGGACCTGGAAGCTCCTGGCTCCTGGCTTTGGATCTGCCCAGTTCTGACTGTTGCGGCCATTTGGGGAGTGAACCAGCAGGTGGAAAACCTCTCTCTCTTTCTCTCTCTGAATTTCAGATAAATAAATAAATCTTTTAAAAAAGAAAGAACAGAACAGAACCCTGGGAGAATGGGGGTTGGAAGGGAATGAGCGCAGACACGGGTGGGTGTTGAAGTCGTTGACGAAGACGGAGTGGTCTGCCTGCTGCAGGTGGTGGAGACGGAGACGATGCCAAGGCTGTGTGTGCACGATTGTCCACGCTTGGTGTTCTTCCTCGGGTGCTGACTGGTTGCAAAAGCATCGAGTGAACAGTTTTTGATGACTCGGCCAAAGGGTTGCACAAATATCCTCTGGGATGGCATTCATTATGTGAGATAACGATAACAGAGGCGGCCCAGCCTGCCCAAGAGCCTGGCAGCAAATGATGGGTGCTCAATAGTGTACTAATTTCTTTTGGTCTGTGGCTTCTGAGGTTAAAACGAGACTCCTTCTCACGCAGAAAACTGTCAGCAAGGCAGCCAGTCAAGGCAAACACATTAGATCAAGCGCCATAGAGAGGGACGAAAACAGTATTCATTTCCTCCCCTTTGTGGCATTTCTCGGGATGGGAGGAGAAGCAGGACGCACTCAGGGAAAGGAGCCGGCTCCGGAGGAGTTTGCCTGGGAGGCCCTTAGGTCATTCGGGCTGGGAGAGAGGGCACCTGCTGCTTTCACAGGCAGATTTTCATCTAGGGGCAGGCCAAGTTCAACCCTGAGCACCTGCACCGAACCCCGTCCTCCTGCCAGCAGGAGTGACAGGCCTGCAATGTCTCCTTGTGTCTTCCCCCACATTCCTCTATTGGAACCCCACCCCTGACAGTGATGGTATGGGGGGCTTTGGGAGGCAACTTGGCCACAAGGATGGAGTCCCCACGACTGTGATAAGTGTCCTCATAAAAGAGACCCCAGAGGATTCTCTGACCCACTTTCAGGATGTCGGCATTTCCGGCTGTAACCAAGTTAGATGGTGCGAGTCCAGAGTTTTCTGGGCTGGGCGGTGGTGTAGCGGGTTAGG